ATGCATATATACTTGTTGATTCATGGATAATGTAACACATTCCAGGGGCTTTCGTGATCTCACAGTTACATTCTCGAAAAACACATTGAACTGTGTTCCATGAGAATGTAATTGTATATATATATATATATATATATATATAAATATATATATATATATATATATATATATATATATATATATATATATATATATATATATATATATATATACATATATATATATATATATATATATATATATAATATATATATTATATATATATATATATATATTATATATATATATATATATATATATATATATATATATATATATATATATATATATATACATTAGGTAGAGTTCGAACCTGCATAAGTCCGCTCTCTTGCTTTATTTTCCTTTATATTATTTATACCCTTACTATAGTATTACTTCTCAGCATCAACACAATCTTATATTTCCACAAAAAAAACTGAATCTTAACATTGGCAGTGATGAAGTACAGTTACGAACATTGCTAGTGTGAAGATGAAACACGGTCACTTTAAGTTATGTGAAGATGAAACACGGTCACTTCAAGTTATGTGAAGATGAAACACGGTCACTTCAAGTTATGTGAAGATGAAAACACGGCCCACTTTAAGTTATGTGAAGATGAAACACGGTCACTTCAAGTTATGTGAAGATGAAACACGGTCACTTCAAGTTATGTGAAGATGAAACACGGTCACTTCAAGTTATGTGAAGATGAAACACGGTCACTTTAAGTTATGTGAAGATGAAACACGGTCACTTTAAGTTATGTGAAGATGAAACACGGTCACTTCAAGTTATGTGAAGACGAAACACGGTCACTTCAAGTTATGTGAAGATGAAACACGGTCACTTCAAGTTATGTGAAGATGAAACACGGTCACTTCAAGTTATGTGAAGATGAAACACGGTCACTTCAAGTTATGTGAAGATGAAACACGGTCACTTCAAGTTATGTGAAGATGAAACACGGTCACTTCAAGCTATGTGAAGATGAATAACGGTCACTTTAAGTTATGTGAAGATGAAACACGGTCACTTCAAGTTATGTGAAGATGAAACACGGTCACTTCAAGTTATATGAAGATGAAACTCGGTTATCTAATAGTAATTAAATTCAAAATACAAGAATTAATCAACCCCAAAAAAAAGTCATGTTCATAATTACATCGTAAATAACATGACACAAGATTCAGAAACTAAAATGAAAATAATCAAAATATGTAATTAAAGTAATGGGCCACAGATAATCCGACCATGTTAAGGAATCACTCGTTCATGATCGACGAACTGATCAAATACAAAACAGATAAACAGGATAAAACGGGAAACTTGCACGTGTATCTTGGCCAAGTTTGATTAACGCAGGAATTTTTTTTTTTATTTTTTTTATATATGTAATGTTCCAAACCTGCGTGTGTTATTTAGCGCAAAAAGGGTGGAGGCTTGATCCTCCGTCCATTAATCAACCAGAAAGGGTCAGGGAAGACTTCAGGAATGAAAAATAATTGGGAGTAGACCTGAATCAACCAGTCAACTGGCCTTTGTTGATGTGTGTTCACCATGGTGGTGATAAGCAGGATTAATGCAGTAACTTCAAAAAATAACTATACAACCATAAACAATTAATTACCTTGTGATTAAGAAATAATTATTTTGATATAAACCGATTATGACAAAGTTGTGTTTTGATACTTTTGTTCTATGGTCAATAATGGCTTTTATTTTGGCGAGAAACTACGTGTTGAAGGTTGTTATTGGCCATGAAGTTCACTCAGTGCAGAAGATAAACAGTGTAACAAACACATCAGAGAAAGGTTAGAAACTCCTGAAAAAGAATCAAAGATTTCCTTGCTCGACAGTAGCACTTTCTCACCTCTTTAAAGCTGGTCTGAAATGGATAAAAAGAGAGATAAATAAATGCCAGTAACTGTTACTGTTACTAACACAGCTACTATTACTACCATGAGAAACTACGGGCCAGATACCCACCGCAGAACTTTGTTCCCTGGATTAACATTATACCCGTAAAGGTGAACATTGTACAGGAATATCTCTTAGAGGTATCCTGGAGTCACTTATCACCCAGCAGTCAGATCCGAGCAGAAAGGTGACTCCGTTCGAAAGCACAATGAAGTACAGAGAGAAAATAGACAGCGGTAAACACTACTGTCCCACCGTGGCTGTCTGATGAGAAGGACTTACACTAACTTGGCTATCTCTGCCTAGATAGTTAAGACAAGGATATTATAGCAGATGGCTCTCTCCCGTTCTTTGCTCCCTCTATCCATTAACACGGCTTTAAAAGATAGGGTGATAGAATTGCAATGCCCTTTTGAAGGAAAAAAAAAGTGTGTTCACATTTGTCAGGAAAAATTGGAGCTGATTTAAGATTTAGAGTATGACAGTTACTACTGCCATTTCTACTACTACAGAAACAACAATTACTGCTATAACTACTACTACTACTACAAAATGCGCGCTAAAGGAATAACAGGAAAAGTCGGTCGATGGATCTATAATTTCCTCACTAACAGAACACAGAGAGTAGTCGTCAACAGAGTAAAGTCCGAGGCAGCTACGGTGAAAAGCTCTGTCCCACAAGGCACAGTACTAGCTCCCATCTTGTTCCTCATCCTCATATCCGACATAGACAAGGATGTCAGCCACAGCACCGTGTCTTCCTTTGCAGATGACACCCGAATCTGCATGACAGTGTCTTCCATTGCAGACACTGCAAGGCTCCAGGCGGACATCAACCAAATCTTTCAGTGGGCTGCAGAAAACAATATGAAGTTCAACGATGAGAAATTTCAATTACTCAGATATGGTAAACATGAGGAAATTAAATCTTCATCAGAGTACAAAACAAATTCTGGCCACAAAATAGAGCGAAACCCCAACGTCAAAGACCTAGGAGTGATTATGTCGGAGGATCTCACCTTCAAGGACCATAACATTGTATCAATCGCATCTGCTAGAAAAATGACAGGATGGATAATGAGAACCTTCAAAACTAGGGAGGCCAAGCCCATGATGACACTCTTCAGGTCACTTGTTCTATCTAGGCTGGAATATTGCTGCACTCTAACAGCACCTTTCAAGGCAGGTGAAATTGCCGACCTAGAAAATGTACAGAGAACTTTCACGGCGCGCATAACGGAGATAAAACACCTCAATTACTGGGAGCGCTTGAGGTTTCTAAACCTGTATTCCCTGGAACGCAGGAGGGAGAGATACATGATTATATACACCTGGAAATCCTAGAGGGACTAGTACCAAACTTGCACACGAAAATCACTCACTACGAAAGCAAAAGACTTGGCAGACGATGCACCATCCCCCCAATGAAAAGCAGGGGTGTCACTAGCACGTTAAGAGACCATACAATAAGTGTCAGGGGCCCGAGACTGTTCAACTGCCTCCCAGCACACATAAGGGGGATTACCAACAGACCCCTGGCAGTCTTCAAGCTGGCACTGGACAAGCACCTAAAGACAGTTCCTGATCAGCCGGGCTGTGGCTCGTACGTTGGTTTGCGTGCAGCCAGCAGCAACAGCCTGGTTGATCAGGCGCTGATCCACCAGGAGGCCTGGTCACAGACCGGGCCGCGGGGGCGTTGACCCCCGAAACTCTCTCCAGGTAAACTCCAGGTAAACTACTACTACTACTACTACTCCTACTACTACTACTACTACTACTACTACTACTACTACTTCTACTACTACTAATACCAATACTAATATTAATACTACTATTATTATTACTACTACTACTACTATTACTACTGCTGCTGTTGCTGCTGCTTATGTTACATCTAAATAATGTTTGTGTGGTAATCCATAGTCAGTCATTTGTCCTGAGGTAGTTCCAGGATGAAACTAGTCATTATCTGCATGGTATTTAGTTGAATCCTATATTTGCAAAGTGCTTATCCACCTAATTCTAAAATGAGAGAGAGAGAGAGAGAGAGAGAGAGAGAGAGAGAGAGAGAGAGAGAGAGAGAGAGAGAGAGAGAGAGAGAGAGAGAGAGAGAGAGAGAGAGAGAGAGAGAGATTAAAATAGCTTTCTAGGGTTCTTAATGTACACATACCACACAATTACGCCTATGAACAAGCTTTTAAAGTATTGCAACCTATCATTTAAGCATACATTTTGAGAAATATTCCAAAGTACATGATGCACAAACACTACACACAAAGTACATGATGTACAAACACTACAAATAATTCTTAGTTACAAAATACACACAGGAACCGCGATCTTGCTTGCAAGCGCAGAGGTGAACATAGCACATGAAGGTTATAATAGTGAGATCCTTATACTAAATATTATTGAGCTGAAAGAAATGTGTTTTCCTCAACACAGATCGAACTATAAAGGATTCTAGAACGCAAGTTATGCACAGAACTCTCCAGCCTCTGTACTATAATTTCCTCGTGTATATGGTGTGTTAATTTATCTTGTGAAGTACTCCTCTATCACCTCTTGTACTGGGCTTAATGTGTCTTCTTCTTCATCGTCGTCATCCTCGTCGTCGTCGTCTCCACCTCCACAACCACCACCTTCTGAATCATCATCTTCGTCGTCACCTTCATCTTCGTCATCGTAGTCTTCATCGTCTTCATCTTCATCGTCATCTTCGTAATAACGGTCGTGAAAATCGTCATGAAAGTCGTCATCGTGCGGGTAGTCGTCTAGCATGTCAATCTTATTGAGCCGAGCAGAGTATTTTGCGCTGATGTCGTCCGAATGATGGGCAGAATATTCCTGCATAATAATAATAATAATAATAATAATAATAATAATAATAATAATAATAATAATAATAATAATAATAATAATAATAATAATAATAATAATAATAATATTTTTATTGCAATTTCATGTCCTCATACAGAAACTACCAGACTGGTGAGGTAGGCAATCTGTTTCAGAGAATATACACCGAAAAGTGTATATACTCAGTGTATATACACTGAATATTCTTGAAAGGTAGTGAACAGGTGACATGCAGACTCAATCAACCTTTATAAAGTCATTAGAGTTAAAGCCCACTTAACTAACCCACCAACCTTTCTTTTGAATTTTTTTTATTATACATATTTAGATATATCATATTAACTTTTATATACTATAGAGTACCTGCATTTTCTTCAGTAGATCTACTGAAAAGGGTACTTTTACCCTCTTTCATTACTTACTCACTATTCGGTCCAAGTGGTTAAACTGCTGCTTATTTATCATAGTTTGCCCTTAAATCAGTACTTGGAATCATTTACAGAAAACTATGTATTTCAAGGCCAACTAGAAAATATTTGTGTTAAACTTGTACAACTGATATTTTCTTTTTCAAAGTTTATTCTCTATAAGGATTACAATGCTGAGTTTACAGAATTTGGTTATTGTGTGGTTTACATGTAGTAAAATAATGATTACAGAGTGTACCACTAGAACACCTAGCATGACTAGGCATTTCGGGCAGACTTAGTTTAATTCTTAATTTTAAAATATTACAAATTATGAGGTAAGTTGGTATTATGGCTAAGTGACTAAATACTAGTTTGTGAGTTTAGCAATGTGAATACTTTTGTTTTGGCACAGTACATAGTTTCAGTATTGGAGTATCACAGGATTCATTATTTTAAGATTGAGATTAATATTTCTGTTTTTTGGTCAAATGGGTGAGTGAGCGTAAGTGTGAACCACCAGGTGGTATTCGTGTAGTTAGTTAACGGGGTATATCAGGGAGATAAGATGTTTTCTAATGGTAGTTTTGAAGGTGATGAATGTGTCTGCAGTTCTAGAGTTTACAGGTTGGGTGTTCCAGATTTTAGGGCCTTTGACATACATTGAATTTTTGTAAAGGTTTAGTCGGACACGGGGAATGTCGTAGAGATGTTTGTGTCTGGTGTTGTGCCTGTGGGTTCTGTCACAACTATCAAGAAAGCGTTTTAGGTCAAGGTTGATATTAGAGTTTAAGGCCCTGTAGATGTAGATTGCACAATAGTAAGTGTGGATGTACTGAACAGGGAGTAAGTTTAGATCTATGAAGATGTGGGGGGGTGTTGCCGGGATGGGATTTAGTGATTATTCTTACTGCAGCTTTTTGTTGGGTTATTATTGGCTTGAGGTGTGTTGCTGCAGTTGATCCCCAAGCACAAATAGCATAGGTGAGGTATGGATGAATAAGTGAGTGGTATAGTGTGAGAAGGGCATTTTGCGGCACGTAGTATCGTATCTTGGAGAGGATCCCAACCGTTTTGGATACTTTTTTGGTTATATGTTGGATATGGGTGCTGAAATTCAGGTTGTTGTCAAGGTATAGACCTAGGAATTTGCCCTCATTATGTCTGGTAATTAGAGTGTTGTCAATCTTAATGTTAATTTGTGCATCTCCTGCTCTGGTACCAAACATAATATAGTAGGTTTTGTCAGTGTTAAGCGTAAGTTTATTGGCTGTCATCCAAGTCGATATTTTGATCAGCTCCTCGTTAACAATGGTGTTGAGGGTGGCAAGATTAGGGTGAGAGATGACATAAGTCGTGTCGTCAGCAAAGAGAATGGGTTTCAGGTGTTGGGATACGTTTGGAAGATCATTGATGTATATGAGGAAGAGCAGGGGACCAAGGACACTTCCCTGCGGAACTCCAGTATCAAGTGGCCGTGTTGTTGATGCTGTGTCTTAATGGTGACATGCTGATACCTATTAGTAAGGTAAGATTTGAAATAAGCAAGCGCAGGGCCCCTCTTATACCGTAATGGTCAAGTTTGTGGAGTAGGATGTCGTGGTCTACTGTGTCGAAAGCTTTTCTTAGGTCAATAAAAATCCCTAGTGGATATTCCTTATTTTCCAATGCTGTGTAAAGCAGATCTAGCATTTTTATGATTGCATCATTAGTGCTTTTATTTTTCCTGAATCCAAATTGGCAGGGGTTGAGTATGTTTTTGTGCCGTTATAATGAATACAGTCTCCTGTGCACGAGTTTCTCAAAGTTTTTGGGATAGCAATGGTAAGTTAGATATTGGCCTATAGTTGTTTAAGTCTGTAGGGTCACCACCTTTATGTATTGGTGTAACCCTTGCCATCTTGAGTAGTTTCGGGAAGGTGCTAGTTTCTAGTGACTTGTTAAAAAGTAATGAAATAGCATGCGAAAGGACATGGGCCGCTCGCTTGTACAGTAATGGTGGGACATGAGACAGATTCCCTGAGTTATTTTTAAGTGACTTTATAATCTCGGTGACTTCCGTGGACTCAGTTGGTGCAAGATAGAAGGAATTTGGGAAATTCCCATCTAGGTAGTCCCCGGCATGGGCATTGGTATGTGGGATTTTATTGGCGAGATTAGATCCTATGGTTGAGAAGAAGTCGTTTATCTTGTTAGCTGTGTCAGTGGGATGTAGTGGTGTTTCATTAGGTTTAGTTAGGACAATATTCTTGTTTTTTTTTCAGCTTGTGGGTCCCTAGAATCTGAGAGAGTGTTTTCCAGGTCTTTTTTATATCTCCTCTAGTGTCTGTGAATCTACTGGAGTAGTATAGTTGTTTGGCTTTCTTTATTACTTTGGTGAGAACTGATGATAGTGTTTAAGAATATCTTTGTGTGTTAAGCCCTGTCTATATTGGGCTTTTCATATTGGTGTTTCTTGTCAATGGATTTCAGAATGGTGCTTGTTAGCCATGGGCAACCAAGCCTTTTTGTTTGTGATCTGTTTCGTTTTTATAGGACAATGTTTGTTGTATAGTCTAAGTAATTTGTTAAGAAAAATGTCTGTCCAGTCATCAATACCATTGGCCTTGGAGAATTCTGTAGGCCAGTCAACAGTCTCTAGGTCAGCTGTGAACTTCCTTATTGAGGTCTCGTCATGGAGTCCCAAATGAGACTTTGTTGTATTCAAGTAGTGGTTTACTAATGTTTGTCAGGAGGAAGGTAGGGTAGTGGTCTGTAGTGCTATCTGTGATTATCCCAGATTTAAGGCGGGCCAGTATATTGGTCCATATGTGGTCTATTATGGTTGCACTTGTCTCAGTGAGCCTGGTTGGTTTAGTTATTGTTGGTATGAGAAGTGTGTTGTTCATATTGTTGATGAAATCAGTTACAGGCTGATCATCTAGTAAGCCAAGGTTGATGTTGAAGTCTCCAGCTAAGAGAAGGTGGTGCTTATTCATTTGTCTGTTTGTTATTAGTGACTTTAATTTCTCACTGAAATTTGGGATGTTTGTGTGAGGTATCCGGTAAATGGCACCGATTGTTATATGTGTCTTAAGGTTTTTTATAGTAAAATTAGCAAAAATGTATTCCCCATATTCATCACTAAAGCAAGTGGTGCTAATACAAGATAATTGGTTAGAGTAATAGATTGCAATACCACCCCCAACTTGGCTTCGTCTGCAGTTGTGAATTGCTGTGTATCCTGGTAGAGGGTAATATCTATTGTGTCTGCTTAAGCCAGGTCTCAGTAAGGATAATGCAGGAGAAGGGTGTCTTTAGTGATTCAAGGAGTGCTAGGAGGTCATCATAGTGTTTGCTTAAGGACCTGATGTTGTAGTTGAGTACTGATAGACTTTTAGCATTGTTTAGGATAGTGCTGGCTTGTGATGCTGTGTAATAAAAGGCAGTTACTTTCCAATAGGTTTGATTGGTGTCAGATTATGGAGGTTTAGATCAGGGTCAACGTGATCATCATCTTCTAGGTTAAATTATGGTTATTTATATCCTGAGTTGTGTGTTGAGTTCTAGTACTGATATCTGTAGTGGTGGGAAGTTTGGACAAGTATATAGCTAGAGTATTTTGGTCATATAGAGTATAGTCACTACTACACATAATGAAGTTGATGTTGTCTATGTGTTGTGCTGGAATGAACTAAAGTACAACTAGGTATAAACTAGTAATATAAAAATACAAATTAAAAATAGAACAAGACTCTCACTTGTAATTGCACTAAGGTCTAATATAATGACTTTTGTGGAGTCTATGTTTTGAGCTAGAATGAGCTCTAATAATATAAAAATACAAATTAAAAATAGCACCAGTCTCTCACTAGTAATTGCACTATGGTCTAATATAGTGAATTTCTTATTGACTATGTATTGAGCTAGAATGAGCTATAGTACAACTGAGTTTAATCTAATGATATAAAAAAGGCACAAGACTCTCAATTGTAATTGCACTAAGGTCTTATATAAGTTGTTTACAAGAATTAGAGTATAACTAGATTTAAATTGACAGGATAAAATACACAAGTTAAGGTAGCAAAAGAATAATAAAAAAAATTATAAAAATAAAAATGGGAATGACTTGGTTATAATATGCTAGTAAGATGGTAGACAGGATAATATAAAAGTTGTAGTTGAAAATACTAGTTTAAAAAGTATAGAATAAAAATGGTCAATAAAAGAAGTTTACAATAAGTTTGATCAATATAGTTTAAAGCAAAATTGGGCAATATTGTCTGTGAAACATAATTATACACAGTACATTAGATGATAAAACAAAAAAGACCCTGGCATAATAAAGCTGATCAAAATAATTGTGCTTTTTGATGTATTTAATATTATAATTCTTTTGCTAGATTTAGATTTTGCCACTGAAGTGGCTAGTTCATTGTGCACCCCATGTCCATCCTGTGGACGGTAGCACAAGAGCATATGGATACACAAAAGACCTAGGAACCAGGCCTCAAAAGGGTTAATAGGTGTATATTATTATTTTGCTAAAATTATTGGTATACTAGATTTAAGACCAATCGACCACACGAGGGCCATAAGATTGCATATTATCTGTTCATCACCGAAAAATGGGAATTTAAGTGAATCTGAGCGTATATAGACTGAGACAAATACGTCTCTCTCTGTGTACATATACAGACAGTCGTTTGTATTATTTGGAATACCACGATGGAAATAAGTCATTCCTTTGACTTTATTGCGTTATTCTATTAAGTTTATTTAGGTGCAGGTAGATATAAGCACATTTACATAGTTTAACATCTGTGTAAATTACCTAGGATAACCCCAAAAAAGTCAAAGTGATTTATTTCCAGTGGGATCCTACTTCAAATCTACACAATCTTCCACCAAAGTATGCCTGAAACTACTGTGTTAATGCATCTATTGTATAAATGCATTTTTTTTTGTCTGTAAAAAGCTTTCGTAGTAAAATTAAATAATATTTAAGTTCCCTGTTGAATAAAATATTTTTCATGTAGATTTTTTTAATTTAAAGTCATGTATTTAGGCTTGAAGATGTAAGTACATGCAGCCTGAATGATGCTCGAACAGTAGTGAGGCTGTATATTGAATCAACCAACAAACCTAATCTCTCAGAGGGTCCCTAGTGGAAATAAGTCACTTCGTCTGACATTTTTGGGGTTATCGTAGGTAATTTGCACATATGTTACAATGTATGACAACTGTAATCACCTAAATTTGTATAACCGTACTTACGTGTACCAGTATATAAATAAACTTACTTTCCCTCTCTACAGTTCAGTATCTTGATGACTCACTGGGTTCTAATTTTTATGACTACCACGCACGGGATGGGTATAGGTCGCATAAGAAAGTCAGTAAACACTAACTACTACTTACTTTAACGTCATCCAGGTAATCGAAGTCATCACTGGAACTCTTACTTTTGTTAGCAGTTGCCACACACGCACACGCCGCCGCCACCCACACCAACCACCTGAGAAACACGTTTTTTTGTTAATTCTTCACGAAATCGTAATAATACAATAGCACACGAACCAGGGACTCTCTTCCCATGCGTTCATTCCCCACCCATTCCGCGGTTTGTTAATTCTTATTATACTCATGGGGAAGTGCTGAACCCGCAAGGGTCATGCAGTTCCTGGAAAATGGGTGGGATGGAGGGGTAATCAAATTTGACCCAATGAAGGAAGGGAAGTTCTAGATTGCTGGATCAAGGAGCCCTTCACCAGCATCAAAGGACCACTCTTGATTGTTACAGCATTACAAAAAACTGCAAATGGAATAAGGGTATTACTGTGCAAATGCTAGCATTACGATGTCTTAACTTTATAGTAGCTACTTCTGCTACAATAATTACTACTACTACTTTTGTACCTAACGAATTTTTACTGAGTGGCAGAACATTCGACCGACAACAGAGGAGAAGTGATGGGGTAACGAGATACGCCTTCATACACCTGCTCCTGTTTACCTTGCAGTAAACATGTACCTGGATGTTAGTTCAGTGTTCACCTGGCAGTAAACTGGTATCTAGGTGTTAGCAGATTGTTTTCCTAGCAATAAACAGCTACCTGGGTGTTAGTTGACCTTGGGAAGAGGAGCGAAGGATTGTAGAGACAAGAAATTCAAGGCCACAGTCCTTGAATTTCTTGGTTTATCTTATGTTATAAGTTCTCAGGGAAAAATAACATCAGGATTTTGTCTTTATTATCTTTATGGTAATATTGCTATGGTTGCGGAGGCTGAGACAGTGGCTTACGTGTGGTATTGGTGGTGGTGGTGATGAGAATTGCCTCCTCTGGCAATTTTAATGGAGATTATTGGGTGTCGTGGTGGTGGTGTTGGTGATTGTTGTGTGTGGTGGAGGTGGTTGTGATGTTGTGTGTGGTGGAGGTGGTTGTGATGTGTGTGTGTGGTGGTGCTGGTGATTGTTGTGTGTGGTGGAGGTGGTTGTGATGTGTGTTGTGGTGTGTGGTGGAGGTGGTTGTGATGTGGTGAGTGTTGTGTGGTGCTGTGATTGTTGTGTGTGGTGGAGGTGGTTGTGATGTGTGTGTGTGTGTGGTGGTGCTGGTGATTGTTGTGTGTGGTGGAGGTGGTTGTGATGTGTGTGTGTGTGGGTGCTGGTGATTGTTGTGTGTGGTGGAAGTGGTTGTGATGTGTGTGGTGGTGGTGATTGTGTGCAGTGAAGGTGCCAGTAATTGATAAGTGTAATGGTGATACTGGTGTTGGTTATGATTGCTTCGTGTGATGGTGATGGTAGTGGTAGTGCGAGGTTAATAGTCACATGACAAGTAGTCTATGAAAAATAACACTAAATTAACTATCGTTAAAATATACACCAGAGTATCCTAAAAAAAAATAACTCCCTGCAACAATTGCTAAATCACTGCAACAAGCAACTCATCTGCCACTGCTGAAATCCTCAGTTATTCCTCATTTGGCAAAGATCCATTTTAGGAGAGAATCTTCTCTTTCCTGCCGAACATAAAACGTCTTCCCTCCCTCACAGGCTGTTAGTCACATTACAAATCTTCTCATAATGATTAATCGAAAAGGATTTATATCTTCTCCCTTTCTTCAGGGGGAAAAATGGGGTGGCTAGATACTGGTGAAGGACTCTTTATCCAAGGAAATGGAGCTACATTCCACTTCCAAGGCTCGAACTTGAGTACTTCGAATTCTTCTCGCTCTGTGTGACACCTACGAATTTAACGCTTCCCCGTTAGTATAATAATAATGACGCCTCTAAATTAGTATACATCCGACAATGAAAAGTTTGCAACTCTCCGCTCTTAGTTAACGTCTCTCACGTTCTTATTCATAAACTACTAAAACATATATCATTTTAGGTTAGGTAAATAGACACTGACGCAATAATAGACAGTATGCAACAAATAACAGTGATGCAACTAATGACAGTGATGAACTAATAGACATGATCAACAAATAACAGTGATGCAAAAAGACAGTGAGCAACTAATAGACAGTGTGCAACAATAACGTGACGAACTAATAGCAGTGACGCAACAAAGCAGTGATGCAAAAAATAACAGGATGCAACTAAAGACTGATGCAAAAATAGACATGATGCAACAAATAGACAGTGATGCAACTAAAGACAGTGAGCAACAAAGACAGTGTGCAACTAATAGAAGTGATGCAACAATTAGACATATGCAACTAATAGACAGGAGCAACAAAATAGACAGTGATGAAACTAATAGACAGTGAGAACTAATAGACAGGATGCAACTAATAGACGTGTCAACAATGCAGTGATGCAACAATAACAGTGATGCAACAAATAGCCATGATGCAACAATTTAACAGGATGAACTAATGGGAATTAATATCGGCAACCTTTTCGGAATTTGCAACAATAAATAAGAACATAAAACATAAGAACAAAGGGAAAACACGCAAAAGGGCCCCCCCCCAATGCCCATGCGAGGCAGGTCCAAGTCTCCTCCCGGGCTTAAGCCAAAGCCCCAACCTAGTCAGGTCGGTCACATTGATTTAAAAGGGGGGAAAAACCGGAACCCACCTGTTTGCAAAAGGGCTATCGGGCAACCACACCCACCCACTCTATAGTTTTTATCCAACCTTTTTTTTAAAGCAACACAAGTTCTGGCCTCTAAAAAAGGGTATTGGGAGTTTTTCCCCTACCACAACTCTTTTCCCAAACCAGTATTTTTCCAAATATCCTTTGATCTGAATTTTTTTTAAAATTTAAAAAAACCTTTGCTGGGTCTGTCTAGGCTAGAATTTTTCAGCACACATTTACACCCCCCTTTTTTATTCCGTTTTCCCATTTATACCCCTCAATCAACCCCCCCTAATTCTACGTTTTCTAGAGAGGCGTTTCAGGGCCCTTAGCTATCCTCATAGGGAAGGTTTCTGATCATGGGTCATCTTTGTCATCCTCCTTTGTATTTTTTCCAGGAATTTATATCCTTTGTAAACGGTACCAAAACTGTGCAGCATAACAAAATTTGGGCCAACCCAAGGGATGTAAGAGTTAAGAACAACCTGGGACTCCATTTTTTTTATGCTTCTGTATGAAGCCAAGGTTTCTATAGTTTATTGCGAACACTTATATGTTGTTTTGGGTTTTCAGATTCTGCAACCAAAATCCTAAATTTTTTTTCGCAACCCCGTAAATTAAGATCTACATTATTATTTTATTGTGCATGGTTTTTTTCCTGCCCCAACAAGAACTTTGCATTTGTTTAATTAAAACGCATCTGCCACTTTCCGCCACTGCATCGTCTATTAAAATCTTCCTGGAGTGCTCGAATGCCCTCGCAGAATGAATCACGGCCTTTTTTGGGTTTTGCCGGAAAAATTGCCGATGTCGCCTTTAGCCCTATCTTGTCGTTTATGAGATTGGAACACGGGGGGCCCAACATGCCCCCGTGGAACACCGCTCGGACGCTTCCCCACTCTATTTTCTCCCCATTTTATGCAAACTCTCTGCTGCCTATTTGTCACCATGCCCTATCCGGGAAAAAAAATTTTTTCCCCCCCCTTTTCCGTGTGCTTTAATTTTCCTCAAAGCCCCTTGATGTGGGACCCTGTCAAAAGCCTTACGAAGTCCATAACACAATATCATATTCATTACCAGATCTACCCCTCAAATACCTTAGTGAAAAAAGTTAATAATTCGTAAAGGGAGGAACGCCCCTTTGTAAAACCATGCTGAGATTTTTTTGTTTTAAATTTATGCTTTTCAAGAAAGGCACAACTGCCTCGGCAATTATTGATTCCCCAAATTTTCCCACTATGGGTTAGGCTTATTTTTCTTAGTTCGAAGCTAAGGACCTTCACCTGTTTTTTAAAATAGGTATCACATTTTCCATTTTCCCCTTTTTCGGCACCATGCCCTTTTTAGTGATATGTTGAAAAGATTAGCCAAAGGTTTCAAGCTCTCTTTCATTTTCCTTTTTGAACCCTTGCATACAGTCATCGGCCTGGGGATTTGAGGTTTTTAATTTTTCTATTTGCTAAGGACCTTTTACTTGTGACCCTAATAGTGCACAGTTTATTACGCCTTTCACATAATTTATTAATAACTGTTAGCGGAGCATTTTTTATAAATACTATGTACTGAAGACAGAACATTATTTTAAGGGGTTTTAAAAGAAATTGGGTACTTTTTTTTAGTCTAAAAACCCTTTTATAAAAGGTTTTTTTTCATTCTAAAATCTAAAGTTACGGTTAGAACATTCTAGGTCTCAACAAGATTTAAGTCACACGTACCGTAACGACAGCATCACACGAGAGTTTTCTCTATCTTTCAAGGTCACTGAAGAGGAGGTTTTTAAAGGATGTTTATCTTTGGGGCAGTCAGTCAACAGGATCGATCGTAAACCCTCACACCAGTCAACAAAAAGGTCCAAGGCATTACACCAATCAGCAAATTGATTGTAGGCCATTTCGTGTGTAATACAGCACCAGATGTTTAAATTCTAACACACCCGTTTAGTACCCGACACGTTTTACTCAGTGTGTTTTTGGGGCCTTCTCTCTCTGTCTTTTTTTTATCTACCATCCCCCGTAGGAGGGGGAATCGGCGTGTATGGTTACACAAACGAACGTGGCACAAAACCCGTGTCGGCTGGTCGGAGGGTAGTGGGGGTTGTTCGCTTGTGTGTCATGGGGATAGCCCCCCACCTTTCCTCCCCCTTCCCTTCCCCCCAGTTTCCCGGCCATCCCCCCCCTTCCCCTTACATCTATCTCCCCTTCTCCCCACCCCCCCACGTCCCTCCCCGCCGACCACTTTCAGAGAAACCCCTTTGAACACACGTGGAAGAGGAGGAGGAGGGAAGGGGGGAGGGGGTGTCAGAAATTAGGAAGGGGAACACGGAATAAAATGGAGAAGGGAGGAGGGGGAAGAAGAGGGGAAATGAGGGGGGGAGGGGGAGAAAGAAAAAACTTTAAAAACTTTAAATTAGTCAGAATGAGAAAGATAGGGAAAATACTTTCCTTTTAGTACAATAAGAATCTCTGCTGGGGAAAATGAACAGGAGGGGTGGAAGGAACATGAGGGTTGGAACTGATTGCGGGGTTTCAGGGAAAGAGGGTTTCCGTGAACAAGGGGTTCAGGTGAACATGAGGGGTTTCATTGAAAATTTGGCAAACTTTTATTTTTGAAGGGGTGGAAAGAGAGGGGGGGGAAAAATTAAAAAAATTTAAATGAACTGAAGGATGGAAGCGAACATGAGAAAAGGTTAATTAGAAAAAGCCAAAAACAGAGCATACATACATGGGTTAGTGCACACACACACACACCACAGACAGAAGCAGACAGACCAACCACAACAGATCCACACACACACACACACACACCAACACACAAACACACACACACACACACACACACAAACACAACACACACACACACACACACAACCATACACAAACACCTGTAAATTTAAAAAACACCTGACAAGTACATGAACCCCGAGTCACGATACAAAAACACTCCAACAAAACCCCAATTTACGCACTCCTGGGTTTTCATAACAAAATTTTACTGGATACCAAGACTGCGTTCCCGATGATAGAATTCTTTTAAAACACAAAAAACACATAAATTGATCTTATTTTTGTTGTTTTTAGACTATTGGTTCACGGTGATGACACATCCTCCAGCGTGTCATGTGTAGCTAAGGGGGGAGGGGGAGGACACAGGTGTTCATAGCCTCTGTTCTCTTGATGCTTCCCCTCTCCCTCCTGTATCTCCCGCCTCTCTCTCTCTCTCTTCTCTCTCTCTTCTCTCTCTCTCTCTCTCTCTCTCTCTCTCTCTCTCTCTCTCTCTCTCTCTCTCTCTCTCTCCCTCTGTCTCTTTTACACAGGGTTTGACAAGGTTAAGGATCCCTAGCTTTATTGACAAGCTATTTACAGGTTAAGGATTCCTAACTTTATTGACAAGCTAAGAGCTGTTACCTATATCAGCTCATTTGAAAGCATTTTTATTGTTATGAGACTTACAAGTAGGGAACAGGATGAAGTTGGAGCCATCTGTGGGCCAGCATTTTCATTTGATCAACTGACTTTATCTCGTTGACATCATTTGCTGTCGAATGTTTTTCCATACTGATCATCCTGGGTATGTATGATCTCAGATGGAGTGATGTTCTGGAAAAGGGGTTTACAGCCAGAGTGAAGTTGCTGCTTTCTGCCCGTCTTGGGGCATAAAAGCTTGTTTCACGCTGTCCTCGAAGTGGATCCAAGTGTGGTACTTTGACAATATTGGCCTTGTACATACGTAAGGCCACCCACATCCCTCCTATGTTGAAGGCTCTGCTGAAATGACAGATCTATCCAGGATGGGTCCAGGCGAGAGATAAGACGTCTTGCTCTGTTCTCCACTCTGTCAAGCAGTCGCAGATGAGAGGGGTGGGGGGGTAGGCAAACCAAGAAAGTGGAGCATACTCAAGGTGCGAGCGTACTTGTGCCTCGTACAGAATCTTGCAACCCCTACTGTCAAGCAGATGCGAGATACGGCGAAATGCTGTAAGCTTCCTGGCTGCCTTGTTTGCTAGATTTACAACATGGTTCTTCATGGTTAGTTTGGAGTCAAATTTCACCCCAAGGATATCAGCTTCTTCTCCAGGAGCCAACACCCTCCCAGTCATCCTTACTACTGCACCAGCAATACCATCATGGTGCCTAGAGACGATCATCATTTGCGTTTTCTCAGGTGCAAATGTTACTTGCCAACTATTTCCCCAAGCTGATATAGCTCTTTTGCTGGTGATTGATGTAGCTTAGAGCAGCTGGCATTTCTTCTCTGGGTAAGTGAATGTCAGTGTACAGTCATCTGCATATGCATGTGGTTCTGGGATGAGATGAAGAAGGTCGTTGAAGCAGACATTCCATAACAATGGTTCCAGCACGCTTCCTTATTGAACACTTGCCCCAATAGGATGTCTTGCTGATTCCGTTCCATTGAGAAAATACACTTAGAGATCTACCCTGAAGGTAATCACTGAAGAGACATAGCGTAGAGCCTGCAATTCCCAGTGCTTGAAGTTTTGCTAAGAGGCCCTGGTGCCACACCCGGTCGAAAGCACCAGCAATGTCCAGTGCTACCACACAGCTGACTTTGGATTCATCCAGTGACTGGTGCCACTTAGTGGAGAGGTTTAACAACAGATCAGCAGCAGAGTAACCTTTCCTGAAGCCATATTGACGATCACAAAGTAGTGAGTGGTAGTCAAAGCACTCTGTCATTTGTCTTGAAATTATTGTCTCAAGGATCTTACCAGTGATTGACAGGAGTGACACTGGTCTGTAGTTGCTGATTTCTGCTCTGCTCTTCTTTCTGTGGACAGTGACTACATTTGCCTCTTTCCACAGAGAGAGCCATTAACACTGTACTAGGCAGTGCTGAAAGATGCGAGTTAGAGGTTCTGCTAGCTGGTCTGCACATCTTCTCAGCAATCTTGGGCTCAACTTGTCTGGGCCCACAGCCTTTTCTTGGTCAAGCGATTTAAGAAGGAAATGCACCCCCTTCTGCCTTATTGTCCCCACTGACAGTTTTGCACATTTCTTGCGTAGAAAAGGGGGTCCCTTGCTGGTCAGGAACTGAATTTTGGTAGAAAGTGTTCAGCAAAGAGGTCTGCCTTTTTGATATGTAGGGGGGGTTCCCACCCTGTCGATTTGAGGTGTGGTTCTCAGGCAGATAACCTGATGTAGCTTTTTTTTGTGTCCACCTCCCTTTTAGCAATGGTCCACTTTTGAACGTCACCCATTTCCCCAAAGGGCTTGCCTGTGCAAGTTCCTGTTAAGGTGGTAGAATGTCTCTTATCCCCTTCGTTGCTTTGTATTAGCAGTGCGCCTTCAAACAAAAGCCAAACCAAGGCTGATCTGTAGGCTTCGTACAATTGCCGGTGAGGAAGTTTTTTTGTTGTGATTAAGGATGGCCCACTAAAGGGCTTTTCCTTGGTGTCAACCCCCCTTGGAGAAGGCTTCCCAAATCGGGGGTGGCGAGCTCAGAGCAAAGGGCGGCCAATTACCCTTTCCCATACCCAGGTTGTGCGTGTGGACTCCCCCCGTTTGTTGGGATCTTAAGGTCGTAAAAACAGACTTGTGGTCAGGATCCACGTAGCCGGGGGGTTTGCAAGGATATGCCTTCTCCCGATCACTCACTATGGGTAAAGGGGAGCCAGAGATGTGAGTGGGGGGAAACAACAAAGTTTCTATGTATATACTGCAAGAAGGTCATCAAGTCCCCCTGTTAGGTGCTGGTTTTGGGGCACCCAACAAATTTGATATGTTTAGTTGTGTTGTGCGAAGGAAGTCCATATTTTTTCCATTAGGAAAGTTGTGGGGCTGCATGTTTCCAGAGGGGCTGTAATTGCCTGCTTGTAAGAGGCCTAGTGTTTATGCAGGCTTGAAGAAAATCATTTCAAGATGAGTAAAAGGGGGGCAACATCTTGTGGGCTGAACCTTTAGAGATGGGACAAGCAAAACCTCCTCCTTGCCCCTTTCCCGTTTTCTCATCCAAAGGTGAGCCAGCAATTCTTGCAAATTTTCGGGGTCCCGTTATCCCCAAAAAAGTTTCAAAGCTATTTTGTCGGGACGTCGAGTGTACAAAACTTGTGTGAGTCTCCAAATTAGTAATGAAACTTCAAAGTTGGGCCCACAGGTGCTGAAGACTGGCTCCTCATGTGTGGTAGCTTTAGGGGGTGGGTGTGTGGGCATTTAAAAGGGGCCCGCCCTTAGAGAGGTGGGTACTGGGCAGGCGGGATGTAGGTCTGTGGTTTGTATAAAGGGACAATACCCCCTGTGGGCTGAAATAGGAGTAGCTGCATGGGTTTAGTGTGAGTGTTCACCCCTTAGAGATCCCGACGGTGGTCCTGTCTGTCAAGTTCCTTTTTCTTCCAACACTGGTCCTCCTTATGTCCTTTCTTGTAGCAGTAATTGCACCTGGTATCTCGCAGGCAGTTGTTGGCGATGTGCCCCTTCCGGTGACAGCGAGAGCACAGCCTAGGTGCCTGGGAGGGTGGACTAGGATTTGTTGCACCTCCTGTGTTTTGCAGATTTGTCCTCAGGTTCTGCCGCTGGAACTGTGTTAGTGGAGGGTGAGACGGCCGTAGATGTCTTCCTCCTCCACGTCCTCTTCCACGTCCTCTATCCCGTCCTCTACCAGTTCTGACAGATGTGTCCCTGCTGTTCGTACTTTGGCGCAGTAGGTGATCAGGTGCAGTGATAGTTCCCTGATTATTAACTGCACCAATCTCTGGTGGAGAAACTCCTGAC